CCCTCCAAATATAAACAGTCCATCCTGTTAGAGCTAACTGTACACAGTATATTTATTCTTCCCATTTTAAATAAAGTTTCCTGCTGATCGGTTGGTCATAAGTAAATAATTTAAAATAAAGCTGTGTCCTGTATTTGTGGCAGCAGGTATCATCAGATTGAATCCATTCACATTTCCTAAGCATGCTGTGTTTACATTTTGGGGAGATGTGAGTTATTTGAGTGTGGCCCTACCCATCGAGGAAAACCTCCTCCAGAACCAAAGAACAAGAATCCCTGCTTTTGTAACAAAAATCTCTCCAGGATCAGGCAGATAAATAAATCTGACCATGCATATGCAGATCCTCTGTATCTTAATACGATTGAAAGAAGATTATTGTGAGAATGAGGACACTGATTATTCCAAATAATAAATATATTGTGATTTATACTGTGGCTTTTCTGAAGAGTGTTAATTATACAATACTTAAAGCTGACCTAAACAATATTTTTAATATCATGACAATGTATATCATGAAGCTACTGAGAATAATCACTTGACTCTGCAGTTCCCCTCAGCTCTACAAAGCCTTTAAACATATTTTAGCTCTTTATTTTGGTTTTCTGGCCTCACTATTCTCACCAGTCTCGTTTTGAGATGCTCAGCAGGCTGCGGCTTTCAGTGAAAAAGCTGCGATAAACCAGACAAAGTAAGGACTAGCTGATGGAGTATTTAGCAGCTTAAGAGCCCGATTTTTTTCTCAGGAATTGGTAGAGACCAAAACAAACATATAGCGAATATTTTATTTCACCTACATACATCACGTGGCCAGAAGAAAGATTCCAAATGAATGCTAATGTTACCAATAACAACAATACTAAAAACTGAACAATAATAATCGATTCTATATATTGTGATTTTAGTATTTAATGTTCATCTGGTGAAGAGTTCAAGCACTGACACCACTAGACCTGTTAAGTTAAATCATATCCACACCCCCATTATATTGATGGACTGGCTTATACCTGAATTTATTAAAATGCTGGTGCTGGCCAAATAAGGACTGCTGCAACCAAAACTTTAGAGAACTGAGGTCCTGCATTTCTAGCTGCTGTTTTACTCCCTTCTGTAAAGTGGCATGTGTTCCTGGGGTTTATCAGTGGTCCCCAACCTTTTTGGATTTTAACTCCTTAAACTCCCGTCATGTTTTACTTGCATGTAATACGTCGTCATACCTTTTGGTTTCTCCCTTATCCATGAAGTTCACGTTCATGTTTTCCAATTTTATCTTTTGAATTTAAATTTTTATCTCTTGAAACAATTTTGCTGTAATCTCTTCTGTCTAAAAAAACATATACTCTGTTCTTTCCTGTCCTGCTGTTGTCACAGCCATGTCTGAACTGGCTGAAGCCACTTGACTGTCTTTAGGTGTCAAGCTTGTGAACTTTGACCTGCAAATGTCTTGGGAAATCAGATTTTCTTTAAAATGACTGTCCTTATCAATACACAGAGTGGACTGCATGTCATACTGTGGAGCAAAGTTATTTTCCAACGTAATTCAGAACTTAAAAGGAGTACTATGATGCTGGTGTTGACCTCTAAGTACAGGCAGAGACCAATCTCTACTAATTAAGATAAGTATTGGACCATGAAGAACTCATATCTCTGGATTTGTTTGGCATTGCTGTATTAAACCTTACTGGTTCAGTTTTCACTTAATGCGAGTCAACTGATATATGGCTTTCCAACCTCTGAAATCTGCATTTTCCCTCCAGTTTCTCTTGGTTTTGTTATTTCAGACTTCAGCTCAAGGCTGACTGAGCACATTTAGCATGGGATCTGCCAGGAGAGTGATATTAGTACCTTTCAATTTTGCTCTTAGTGTTCGGGGGCTCTCATATGCATATCAGGAAAATGTATTGTAGCCTGTTTGCTGCGTTGATAAAATGTTGAACAAAAGAGATGGATATGCTATGACAGATAAGAAAATGTTGGGAATGGATCATGTAGGGTGGCATCAGCTGAGTAACTGCAAACGGTGATGCCTGTTTTTGAAGTCTTTGAAAGGAACATGAGAGGTCAAACATCATGAGTCATGTGACTTCAAAGGCTACCACTGGGATGTATTAATCAACTCTATAGCTCAGCATAAAATATGCATGAATTGAGTGTAGGTATGTACCCTGTATGTTCATTCCACACAGTTTGTTAGTCAGCGTTTCTCCCCATCTGTCTTTGCCTTTGGACTCTGTGTCCCGTGTTTTTGAGGTCGCCTCTGTCTGTCTGCGGTCAGTCTGTCCGTCTGTCACCCCTGACTTTCACTGTCTGTCTCACAACAGTCGTTCAAGCTATACAGCCGTTCAGCCAGTGGAAGAACGCTGGGCACGGTGCCAGCCAGCCGGGGCGCCAGTTGGGCAGTCCATCAGTAGCATTAAAGACATGTTATCCACCCGAGTGTATCCGCCTGGCTTAGAGCCCTGATCCCCTGTCCAAGCCCCCCATGCTGCCCCTTGACTCACAGAGTGCACAGAGTCCCCTTCTTGCTTTATCAGCATGGCACCCAGGCATCCAGCCTTCTGCTTTAGGTCGCTTAAAACACGTACACAAATAAATGAGGAGGCTGCTGGAAATAACTACTTTCTCATCTCCGGCCAAGCTGCACTGCTGGTCAGGTCATTGTCTTTAAAGGGACAGGGGGCAGGCTGGTGCTCGCCTCCACTCATTTTTATCTTAAAGAATACAATGTCAGCTAATTTAATTTAGGCCTCTTGCAATATAAAATAGATGAAAGCTTCCACGGAGGCGTAGAAGGACTGTTTGTTTCCTGTTATACTTAGCCAGATAATGGACTGGGTGCTTTTTTCATCACAGCTAAAAATATTGCTGTTGCTCTTTTGATTCTGAAGGATTCATACTTTGTCTTGACCTCATTCTATCTACTTTAATATAATGGTCACTGCTTTATGGATCTACTGTTATTATTGCTGTTGAATGGTTTGAAGTGTTGATGTGTCATTAAGCGGTCAGACCTGAAGCACACAGTAGCAGTCACTAACCTTGGACACACACATTTCTAGCCCTTTAGCTGCTCCATATTAGAATGACATTCACACTAAATTGCCATTTTGTTCCCACTCCATTATTTAGGACGCCTTTTCCATTAGCCTTCTAATCATTGTGTATGTGTGTGTCTGTGTGTGTCTGTCTGTGTTTGATTTTGCTCTGACTAATCACTACTGACTTAGGTATCCAGCCACTTATTTAATTTTCAGGATACACTGAGGCTATACGTCAGATAGAGTAGCCTAAAGTTAGCATAACATATTACAAACAATTACATTTGGTGTTCAGAATACATGTGGCCTATACCGACATTTACTGGTTAAGGTGTCCTGATATAGAAACATAATAAATAAGGCAGAGTCAAAGATTTCTAAAATGCAAAATTAGAGTTCCCTGCTGGAACTTTAGTAGCCAGACTTAGAGTCCAAAACGTACAGATATAACGGATACCAGACAAAAAACTGGAAGTGACTTGTATATTAACTTGCTAATGGAAGACAAAAGTTGTGGGAGCTCAATGAGGTTGTCTAGAGGACAGGTATGTCTTAGTGGGTCTAAAAGACCCATAAACACTCGCATGCAAAGACTAAAGACATTTAGTAGAGGCAGAAGGGGTAAAGGGAGTTGGAGCAGGTTTATCAAATTTAGGACAATGTTTTGTAGTTAGAAGGTAATGTTAGCAAACCAACTTCACTGTCAGGGAAAAATTTGCTTTGTGTCAAATCTGGGTGACAGCTAATTAATTTGCTAATGTTAACTAATTTGGTACTACTGTAGGCTACAAGCAAAATGTCAATATAGTTGTAGCGTCAAAATAAGAGACAGTGCTTGTGTTGTGCTGTTTATAGCCATAATTTAGCTAGCTTAGCTAACAATGACTGACATCGTGTGTAGCCATTTTTGGCTTACCTGCAAGAAAAGACCTGAACCATTTTTACACTATGACTGACTCTAACTGACCCACAAAATCTGTTTCGTGTAGCATCTTGAGACACTTGAAGTGGCCTTTGAATTGGCACTTCTCCTACATTTTGTGCTCAATCCCTAATCGTTGGCTCTATTAATGATGTTTCTATTGCTAGTGTCCCAAATGTTATAGTGGCACATCTTATAAATTACCTTTAACCCAAATTTAAATTTAGATAGTAAAACTTATTGGAAACTGTACATGTTTCATTACACATATGCAGTCTCTAAATTGTTGCGTATGTAAAGGTTTTCTATATCTTGGCCACAGAAAAGTGACAAAATGGGAATGGGTTTATGATGTATGCTTGTTTGCAGAAGACTAAAGTAAACATTTGAACCATGAACGACTACTTTTCACATTTCACAGTTGTGATGTGTAGCACCAAGATAAGTTCCCGCTTGATTTGAGCCAAAGCAACAAATTTTGGTGTGCAGAATAACATAAAACTTAAATCAGGGCTATAATGGAAAACAAGATTTGACCAAAACAAGATTCTACCATACAGCATGAACTTCTATATTCTCAATAACTAAGATGAATTTAATTCTTAATTATATACCTGACCCACAGCAGCTGTAGAAAGGCGAGCAGACCCTGTTTGGTACTTAAAGCACTGACAGGTTTCTCTGGTGCCATTACGGGTGGCAACTGAAGTAGCTTTGATGAAAGAATGACTGTAGGTCTGTTAAACCTGTTGAGAAAGGACTGAGCTAACAGCGCCAAGTGAATGGTGAGCTGGAGATCTGTACATAGATTGAAAGTAAAGTACTTCTAGAGAGCTCAAAGAATTTTAAAGGAACCATGGCCATCACGTTTGCCTTTCTTAATCATCTTCCTCTCTCATGTCTTATCTAATCTTCCTTCCATACACATATCATTGGATGTTACTGAGTCTCTGGATATTAAAATGCGTTGGGATATGGAAGTTAAAATCTTGTTTTTCATATACGATCTGCTGTGCTCTAACTACAGTTGTTTCTGTTCACAGCAGTAATCATGGAAGACCGCTGCTGAAGACTGAGGGCCTGTTAGGGCATACATACTAAACGTAAGGCAAACACCTCCTCCATATTAAATAGCTGTAAATCTCTTTGTTTGGCTTTTCATCTTAATTGCTGTTGCCTTTTGATGTGGATGTGACTGGAGAGTCCATCTTGACAACTCGCTTGCGTGATCCACCGTCACACGTAGGTGTTAAACCTTGAAAGTACAGTATTCATTGATTTTGAATACTGGCTCATACAAACATGTGAAAACCAATGGCTTTATTACTTAAAATGAACCACCCACACATCTTTCCAATAAAATGTTGGTTTCACAAAGATACAAGATTAAACCAGTCTTAAATCGCTCTTAGGCTGGTGTAATGTGGTGTAGCAATAAAGATTGATTTTAAGTCTAGAAAGTTAACCCTCCTATCCCAGGGTACATCTGTACCAAGAGTAACACTTGCTGACAATTGAAAAAAAAGTGGAAAACAGCTCAATTTGTGGGTTGCTAACAATTGTGTAGAGCAAGTAATAACAGGATACAATTTAACGGCACAGCAGTAGGGACTTGGAAATGTTATCTGTTATTGCTTTTCTCATTGCCAAATTTACATAGTAAAACATTCTTTTAAAGGTAAATTCTTCCTCAAGGCATATTGTTAGCTACAGTGTCTGGAGCTTAGCAGTTTGAAGCTTATGCTCATTCAACCATTGTTTTAGTTTGAAAAATGTTATTTTTTTCAGAGACTTTGGGGCAGATTCATCGTAGATAGTTCAAGATATTTCAGAAGTAGACGTTTGTGCAGTAGGTGAACAATGTTGTTGACTGAAAGTTTGTAGTCCCTGTATGCTACACATATAGAACATAAAAGATACAATATAGGCCGATGTACAGTTATATTTAAAAATCATAAAATGTGATTTTCTGGATTTTTGTTTTAGATTCCGTCTCTTACAGTTGAAGTGTACATATGATAAAAATTACAGACCTCTACATGCTTTGTAGGTAGGAAAACCTGCAAAATCAGCAGTGTATCAAAAATCAGCAGTGTATCAAATACGTGTTCTCCCCACTGTATACTTATTTAGATAAGGATGTGCGTAATTCTGGAGCTGCTCCTTTTTGGGGTCGATCACCGATTGCTGAAAGCAGTATCGGCCGATACCAATCACTGGGTCTATTTGAAGCCTTCTATTTATCATGTAGCATTATTTATTTTTTTAACTATTCCTAAAAACAATGTATTAAGTATTAAAATTAAGAGATGATAAAGTATCATGAAATGACAACTTATTGGGTAACATTCCACTCTCTTAGAGACTTAAACCATAACAGCCTTTGCCTGGTTACTGCGAACATCTTAATCAGGTTAACAAATATAGCTTTCCTGTGGAACAAACAGCATCTTTATAAATTTACTTCAACTATAACAACTGAAAAGATAAAGGAGCATGGGGCGGGGGTACCAGTGGTTCTCAAACTTTTTTATATCAAAGACCCCTTAACTGACACAAATTAGACCATGGACCCCAGTTTGATAAGATTTTGTCCCAGGATCAACCATCTGATTGGATATTGGGTTTTTAGATGTTTTATTACAGAAAATATATGAAACTCAATGACCAACATACATACGGTCACTGTGTTAATAATGGATGGAATTTTAGTGAAAATAAATGATTCTCCTTTTTGCCCCCTGGAACACTCTCAAGGACCCTTGGGGGTCCCCATTTTGAGAACCACTGGACTAGACAGTTGGTTGCAATTCACAACCTCACCGCTAGATGCCAATAAATCTTACACACTTAAATTTTAATCCAGAACTATTAACTATGCTACTGTAGGTTGTAGTCTTTACTCGCACATCATTAATTTTTCCAGTTCGCACGTATTTATTTTTAGGGTCACATGCCATTCTTCTTCTTTTTTTTATTGGGCAGTGCCGTTGACTTCCCATCACTGTTACAGCTGATGTATAACATACTGCAACCTGCTTTACCGGAGGGGAGTGTAGCAAACATTTCAAATGCGGCCAGCAAGTTTTTAATAAATTTTTGGAAAGGTTAACATTACGGGAGATTTACTGGAAAATATTTAAATGGGAGGATACCAGGAGAGAACGGTAAAATACGGGAGAATCCCAGGAAAAACGGGAGGGTTGAGAGGAGTAGAGAGATGGAGAGTCGAGCCGCTGTTGCCGTAAGAAAAACTTGATCTATCTAAAGTTTGTTAGATGTAAGCCATAATTAATGTCTATCTTTTGTCCATCTTGAAACCAGCCTAAGACCTTGGTTTGCCATGGGTGTGAAACGCCTAAGGCTGCAACTTCTCTCTTTTAATCTGCTCTGAAGAGGTAGAAAAAGTTCTCAATACAAACAAAGCACTCTGATGCCACGTGACCTGGTCTGTGTGTGTGTGTGTGTGTGTGTGTGGTTATGTGTATATGTGTGTGTGGCCCACAGGTGCTGTACAGTACAAAGATTTCTCGTCTCATGCAAATGGCATTCCCTGAGAGAAAGCACAAAAGCAGTGCGGTGGGGGGGCATTAAGAGCCCACGCCCTCTTGGGGAGTAATAAGGATCCAGTATTAGTCCCTTTTAAAACATTAAACCATCCACGCAGAAGCTGGATGAACGCAAGAATTAGAGAAGTGAGAGATGGAGGAGACAATTAAAACTAAAATACTTTTCAAACTTTTCAAGTTTACAAGTCCACTATTTTGAGATTTCCTACTGAATACTTTCCATTTGCATGTCTTGTTTTATTTGTAGCTTTTACAGTACAAGTGTATGAAAACTTCTGAAAGAAGAAATAACACATTCTTCCTCTTACAAATTAGAAGTTGAATTCACTAGCATTGAAATTCATCCTTACTCATTTCAGTTTATTCAGTGGTTTTGCTGCTACAGCCTCACTTGGTCTGGTATGACAAGTAGCTTATTCTGGTTAACGTTAGATGAATATTGCTGTATAATGGACATTAATGAGTCATTCCAATAACTTTATGACACTTCGCCCTTTGTGCTACTGTTACAGTAAGGTGTTTATATTTAGTACAATACCAGAATTGTCACCTAATCATAAGTTACACTGTCTCACTTTAAAGTTGCATAGGTATTGCAGGCCAATTGTATCATTATCAGTTTAGAAACACAATGGCAGAAAGTCAGGAAATCTTTGTCTCATATCATATTGTTTGTAATATATGTAAAGGATATGTGGGTATAGCTAATGGATGGATAATACAAAAAGAAACATCTTTTTGTATTATGTTCTTGAAATATAGCTTTGGCAGCAGGACTAAAGGCAACTAAACCAGTAAAACCACCCAGATTGGGTAAGAAGATGAGTCATATGTTAAGGGTTTGACTGTTTATGAGACGTTTTAGGATTTCACTCTAAAGTTCTGTTTTGTCATATCCCGGGTACCAAAAGAACTTCATGGCTGTCCGAGAAAACAAAAGCATTTGTCATTTGTTCAAACGTCTATGTTTACCAGACAAGGACCTGGCCATCTGAGTGGTGATTCTTCTGTCTGTCACGAACAAAGCCAGTTTTGGTATCCTTTTAACTAACCTTAACCAAATTGGTTTCTATGCCTACATCAAACCCCCTTTTAACCATCATTTACATATCGTGTGTTTTGTCATTCAGTTTGGAGGACTTGTTGAAAACTTCCTACCAATAACCATACAACAGACTTTTTACCTTTTTACTGGTTCTCATCTGTGTCCTTTTACCAAAACCATGTTAAAGAGAGAACAATGCCCACTTCCTCTCTGTGTGTGTTTAGTCTTCATGAGGGAGAGAAAAGTGAAAGACAATGTGTATTCTATAATATCTCACTTTGACCTCCACTGTTGCCTTTGCCTTGCGCATTTGTCACTCTGAACAGTCTCTTACAACACGCCTTTTTCAGGTCAATAGAATTCACATATAATTGTCATCAACAATGTAATAACCTTTACCATCATTCATTTGACAGCCAATGGTTCTCAAGTGCCGTGCATTCAGTGAATACATGCTTCTTCAATACAGCACTTTCTATGGAACTTCATGTGTTCAGTACTTTATGGGCAGGGCCGGAATTTATCTCTGGTTTTTAGAGAACTTTATTCCTGCATTCTTCAGGATTTTATGCGAGAACATCACAAATATGTATATATATTTTTTTTTATTACGAAATAATTAATTTCTAACTTGATTTCGTAAACTTCAAAACTAGAATCAACGTTCTAGCTCTCCTCAACAAAAGTAATCACCTCAGTGGAGCCCTTGAGTACAGTAAATAAATTGGAGTTTTAGTAGCCTAGTGGCTGTCCGGACCATGCAACTGTGATTTAAATGTAAATAGATCACTGATGAAATAAAATTTGGACCCACCATTTTGCTGGAGTCAGGCTAGACACATGGAATAGAACGATACTGCCTATAGCCAAAATCAACAATTATCAAGAAAATAAAACTCTACAGTTCATTTCACTAACAATTGTATATTAAAAGATCACTGCAGAAACTCACTCATTAACTCACACAAGTTCATTATGTTCTAATGTGGAGTGTGTGATTGATTGACATTGCCACTCATATTTAAATGCCACTGCCCCACCCCCATATGGGCCAGAACCACACACCACACACTGTGGGCCAGTCAATCAAGCCACATACCAATTGATATGCAGTTTTTTGCCTATTTTTTAATACTATGTGTATACTATTGGCCCACTTGTCCAGCGGCCCACTGGGGAAACTCCCAGTACTCCCGAAGGCCAGTCAGCCTTTGACCACGGGGGATTCTTCCTCCATCAGTCCTTGCCAAACACCTCTCCATGGTATTGTTTGTGGTGAGTGTGGCAACAATCAGGGGTAGAAATCACTGTTTTACTTGAGGGCTTGAAAACCTGGAGGAAGTCATAGACACACTGTTCCTCCTCTTCCTTCCTGTCTCTGCTTTCTCACCCGTTATCATCTGTCTATGAAATAATGTGCAAGACAATGTTCCCATATGGCTAAATGCACAAGAGGACTCAAGCACTTTGCATGATAAATGATTCGCAG